GCTGACTCCAAACAAAGATGTTGAGCTGTATTTAAACATAAGGTTTTTTTTGTTTAATTGTTTGTTTGTTCCATTCTTATAGTAATTTCTTTTTTGTCCACAGCTGTCTTGGAGGAACTGACAATGTCAAACATGAGAATGAAATAGACCTTTTTGAAGCTATTGATGAGAATGTAAGTTGTACTGATTGCCTGTATTGTCGATTAGCGCTGCTTTAAAACATTTCCACAGTGCTACAGATTGCAGTGTTCTAAGTGATCATAATTGGTGTGTTTTCTGGCCACCTCAATGCAGGAGTCCAAACATAAACGCACAGACCGCTCAGTGTTGTGCTATCTACGAAAAGCGCAGCCGGGGAAGGCGTGGCCGAGGCTAACGAAAGAGAAAGCTAAGGTAGTTATAAGATGCATTGATGAAACGTAAGGGGTGGTGTCCAACCTGAATATGAAATGTCAGTAGCATGAGGCAGTTAAAGTAATTTATTAATCACATCAAATTGCTACAGTTAAAAGAATATGCTGGGTTTGTGTTTCAACAGCTGAGTTGGCTCAGTGTCGACTTCAACAACTGGAAAGACTGGGAGGACGACTCGGATGAGGAGATGGGCAACTTCGATCAATTCTCAGATGTAAGCACTTTGATTATTGAATCTTAAATAATTTCATAATTACTTGAAGGTGATTGATTGAAAACATACGAAGAAACATTTTCCAAATTGACCCTGAACCACTACGAAAAAACAAACAGAAACACCAACAAAATTTACTTAGCATTTGGTCAAGCCCAAATCCAGGCTAAAGGAAGGGAATCAAGATAATAGTAGGGAACATGATACTAGCTATTTGGAAAAATGACAGTAGATGGTAAATTTGCATTCTTTCTTTGATCCTTTTCTTATAGAATGTAGGATCATTTTAGTTAATTAACTCAGTCATATGATTAACGCGACACAACTGCAATTTGCTGATGGCTCTTTCAGACATGATGCGATTGGTACTCACTGTTTGCTTCAGCACGCTGCTTGAGGGGAGTGGTAAAGGAGTTTTCAAGCTTTCTAACTTCTAGTAGGACAATGTCACTACTTCCTTCTGTTTGTGCAAAAACATCAAGCTCCCAATTTGTTTACAGTCTAATTTTAACAGCAACAAGCAAGTTTGTCCCAAAGGTAAGAAGCAAAAATTAGCTCTGCTAGTAAGAGGAAGAACAAGAACTGTAAGCAAGGAATTGCACAGCAGACGTTTGACGTGACTTTCAGACATTTAGGGTCAGGTTCTGTCTGTCTTTAGATGGATTTATACTCGTTGGGAAGCTTTTACTGTGATGAGTTGTTGACAACTTGAGTAATGTTATCTTCACTTCACCTGTCTCTTCTCTACTCTGTGTTTGGAGGGGTTTAGCTACAGGGTAAAACAGCAGAGGAGAGAAAGTAGTGTTGTCACTGAACAGAGAAACAGAGACTCTCACGCCCAGTGCTTCAAATTAAACGAATGCACATATATTAGGCAAATAACATAAAGCCTTGGAAATAATTATTAAACCACCTGTTGTTTGCTTTACAAAGTCTACACAGCAGGCATTCAGAATTTTGTTTTAAGTTTATCATTGTGGTTCAATAATACAGTGAAAAAAGTATTATAATAAATCTACATTCAAAAAAATATGTTTACAAATATGTGTATTTTGAGCATAAGTGGAAGATTTACAGTCATCCAAAGTAAATTGTTACTCATCCATTACAAAAAGAGAAAGGACAAGAAGACAGCCATTGTTGTTCTTAATGAAGGTTTCAACAAGTCAACCATTGCTAATTGGCTTTGAATCAGTAAAACAGCTGCTCATTACAAACTTAAGAAGGAAATGCAGTATAAGTGCACCAAAAAATGCAGAGTGAGAAAACAGTAATCACATTTGATTATTTCTAAGGCGTGCCAGGAAACGTAAATGTATGCATGGGCATTTACCCCACTCATTCATTCACATTTTCTTCTAACTTTTCTTTTTTTTTTTGTCATACTCATTTAGATTATTGCCAATGGCTTTACTTTTAAGCTCTGCCAATTTGGTAGATTGCAAAAAAAAAAATAAATGTATGAGTTTCCAACAACCCTTAATAGACATAGTTCAGGAAATGTTATAGAACAGCTGACTTTTTCTGTGAAACTGTGTAACTACAATGGAAGTCAGACCCAATGCAAAGTGATGATTAAAGGTAAACCTGTTCTCATGATGTGGTTTGATTAATTTGTATTTCATATTGCAGATGATGAACAACATGGGAGGTGAGGATGACCTACCTGATCTAGATGGTGCAGATGACGTAAGAATCCTTTTTTTCTCTCATTTCATTAGACTTGTACCCTTTAAGGAAAACTGATCAAACACTACATTTTCATTCGCATCAGGAGAGGTGCAGAGTGTTGCCTTCTTGTCCTGAAATGAGATGACATCATGTAACAATTTTGAGCCTCATCTTACCCTTCTTTGTGTGTGTGTGTGTGTGTGTGGTTTTTTTTAGGATGAATCTGCGGATAGTGATGACGAGAGTAAGTATCTATGAGCTTTTGTACCGACTGTAATTGCAGCTATAAATTCTTTACGGAGACTTTAATGTCATTTCTGTTTCACTTGATTTTGTTTTAGAAATGCCAGATTTGGAGTAGAAGACCACAAGACTCTGGAAAGAAAATGGAAGAACAGAGGGCAAGAAGAATCTTAACAAATGTATATCTTGAAATTGAAGGCAGTGACAAACAACTGTACATATGAGTCAGTAGCCATATTTAAATCCATAGCCTCAGCTCCAAACTCTTGACCAATCAGTCCACTGAAGGTTGATATGCATGGTATTGTACAGAGCAGCTATCTCCACTTCCATTTGCTGTACTGCACCTTTTGGGTATCTTGTTTTATTGTTCAATATTACAACTAAGCACACCTTTATTTGTTGGAAAAAAAAAAAACTGTATAGTTGTCCTCAACTGAGCAATACGTGTTAAGAGATTTACAATTTGTTTTCAAATTAACTGTGATTTAAAAACGATTAGGCCCACTTGTTCCCAATGTTGTGGTTTTGAGTTAGTCGACCAGTGTAGTTTATCTCATGAGTTAAGAAAAGAATTAGGTGCATTTACTGATTGGGTTTCTCTAAAGCCTTCCATGTGCTGTGAATTAGATATCCAGGAAGCCAGTCTTTGTTTCAGTAGCTCCAGCTTAAGTTTCCCTCTACTTCTTGTTTAATGTTTGTAAAATTGGGATAATCTCAACTCATTGCAGAACTATTTGCATCTTCCCGGTGATCACCTGCTGTACTCGGTTAATCAGAATGAATTCCACATATTTAGTTTCTCACTTCATACCCACCTAACATGCACACTGGTGTTAGACTGCAGACGCAAGGTGAAATGTTTTACAGCTGATAAAGAGGCTCCGAGTTTTCTTTAGGCCTCCGCATCACGTGGTTTGTTGCTATCCTCCAGGTTCTTTCCGTTTGTTCATCTAGAGTAGAACGAGGGAGTGTTGGAACGATACGGCGACGTGTAATGACCAAATTATATTTGCACTGTCAATAAAATGTAAGGGGAGACAAGTAATGTTCAATTACAGTGGAAATTCTTTTTTTTATTGTCTACATCTTTCTAATAAACTGTTTAAGAATCATTTTAAATGTTTTTTTTTTTTTCCTAAAATGACATTTGTTCATTTTCCCCAAGCTACAGGTGTCAGGTTTGGGGAGATTTAACCCTTCAAATATTGGAGAATTTGGGACCGATCACAATTATTTGGAAAGCTGTGGGAGCAAATAGGGCGTCTAACATAGTTACAGAAGTGCTTTTTAAATGTAATGCAAATCAATGAAACGGCTGCAATTTTTACACTTTATAAGTTTTTAACTAGTTTTTGTTGATAGTTGGAAATGCATTAAAAAAAATTGTAGTTAAAAGTATGTTAAAAATTACACTAAGAGGAGGGCAAAACATTTTAAATATCTTGATGATTTACAACCCCATTAGTAACTAAGACTGTCAAAGATAAAAACACAGTAGGCATCTCGGCAAAGCAGCTGTGTTGGATTGCGTTACGTTGTACAGGTGACCTACAGAGTAGATGATGCTGTTTACGCTTGCAAAAAAAAAGAATAAAGCAGCTTACCCTTAGGTATTATGGCACTGGAATCTGAATTTAATATTAAAGATAGCATTTTATGACCTTTTAGAACCCATGACTGAGTTGTGTCAGGATCAGCCGGTATGGCATATTCATAAATGAAATGGCTTTTAAGGTGAAAAACTGGATCTGAACAGTGAGTTTTGTTGCATGTAATTGAAGCAGTGTTACTCAAAATGGAGCATCTTGACTTGATTCGTAGTGCTGTAACTTTCACGGCAGCGTTGTCGAGGCGCTAAGACCCAGAAACCTTCAGGCTCCTCGGCCCAGCATATTAGCATACTTCCTCTTCAGGCCTGATTTCCTCACACAGTCATTTACGAGAAGCTGACGCTAATGTGCAACATTAGGTTCCTCTTTTCACCCTGAAGCAGATTAAAAGAAAAGCGATTTCACAGTCGCACCTTTAATAACAAAAAAAATACGATTATTATGATTATTAGCATAATTATGATTATTAATATATTAAGTAAGCATTACGACAATGATACATAATAAATTCAGCTTACATTTTAAGGCATTTTAAAAAAATATTTTAATAAAAAATAATTAGAACAATTATAAATACTACCATTCTTTCAAAATTAGAAACCACTTTTGAGAATTTTAGTAAATATTACTGGTAATAGCAATAATTATAGAGTCATTATTATTGTTAATAAAAATAATTTGTGTTTGTTGGATTAATTATTATTTTGTTGTTTTTTTTTATTTTTAAATTTTACTATTATTGTATTGTTTTTTTGTTTTGTTTTTTTTAATTTCTTGTGAATTTTTGTGAAGAAATTATAGACCGGATCTGTGTGTGGTTATTGTTGGGATGTTTACACTGCTACTGTTCGCTCTGTTCTGTGATCATGGCTGCACTGGACCACACCAGCCATGTTTGCTAATTTAAAACCCAAAGGTTAGGGAATAGTTGTTTATTATTTATCGCCGTGCCATCTTCACCCGCACACCCGTTAAGACGGAGGTTTAGAGGCTTCTGCGCCTTCGGAATCCAAGGACCGAAAGGTTGGACAGCTTTAATTGAAATATCCGCGAAACTTTTGATGGTGGTGGTGTGGGAGGATGATGCTCTGCAAAAAATTGTCTGTGTGCGTGCAGCGTAAACAATGTAACTTCATCTGGCTGCTAGCTAACGTTAGCCCATGAACAAAAGGGAGCACGCCTCCATCTGTTAACAGGCGAGTCTGATGAGTGAGTTAGCAGATTATCAACAGACCGGTTGATATTTATTTTCTATCGCGGCGCTCTCTACCGCTGATGGGGCATCATGGATCCAGACCAGCGTGGCTGCGGTACCTGCTACCTGGCTATAAGCTAACATCGCAGCCTTGCTGTCTGGATGAACGTTCAGGATGCTATGAGTTAGCTGCGCGGCTAGCGTGTGGTTAGCTAGGTTCTATTGTGATGATTTAGCTAAATAACCTTGGGACTGGAGTGGGGAATATTTTTTGCCCGATGTTTCACGCTGATGTAAGCGATATGTTCAAGCTACTAAGGAGTTGAACTCGTATCCAACGTTAACAGTATCAGTTGTTAGCACAGCCGACTAGCAGCGCTTTAGACTGAATTGTTCGTTTGAGAGCGCAGCTAGCGCGACTAAGCTAACGCGGCGCCTACTCCCGCAACGGCCTGGTTGAATTAGGAAATGAACTATCCTGGAGGGCTACTTTTGTATTGCAGCGGCAGGGAACTGTTAAACAGCGAATGGCGTGGTAAACAGTTCTCCAGGCCTCGGAGTATAACATATTCTTGCTAATCCCTCCATTGTTAGTTGGCCGAGGCCGCCGGGTCTTGGTGGTGTTTGTGCGGCTATGGCTGCCCGGGCCGTACATTTATCGTGGTAGATTTAAGAGGCTGTGCTGCTCATGTTAGCAGCGCCTCATCAGCGCTAATGATGAGCTTCTATCGTAATATTCCGGCTGTCCATTACACTCGCTGGGGCCTGGCATCTGCTGTTGCTGGCTGCGACATTTTGACGGTTGTTGTTGGAACGAAATGGTGCTGTCACAGGCTGCAGTTTCCAAAATCACTGAGGATAGACATTTCGTGGTGGGAATGGCACGCATTACGTAGCGTCGACTGTCTTCAAAAACTGCACGAAGAGAAAAAGAAATGAAAATGAATTAAATAATACGTTTGTGATTCACACGGTGATGCACATCCTGCTCATACGTTTTAACCCTGTGCAATCAACTGCACCACTTCCACACATTTGGTGTTTGAGTGGAATATTAAACTGGGGAGTGCGTTTATTTATTTATTGCTCCTTTTTTTTTTGTTTGTTTTTCAGATGGATTCAAATAACCATTTCAACTATGGCACCCACTCCTCAGCAAACTCAGGACTGAAACTCTCCTCAGGGGATTCTCTTTATACTAACGGGTCCTCCATGAGTTTTCCTCAGCAGGGGAAGAGTGAGTATTCTCATCCTTGAGCTGCGATCTGAATGCAAAATCACATCTTGTCTCCATACAGTCAAATCTTACCTTCTCTGTCCACCAAACTTTCATAGTTCAGCAACAAACAAAACACTTTACCAGTGCAATCTGTACCTTTTTAACTTGTCTCGTATCTAACAGATATGAATGGCGAAATGAATGTGAATGGCGTCTCTACTGTACTTGGGTCCAGTGTGCCTGGTTCCCACCCACCATCAGCTCCTTACCCACACATGAGCAACCACCACCAGAGCAGCATGGGCTACGACTACTTGTGGGGAGGGCACCCTCAGTATGGGCCAGGCATGAGCACCTCTCCCGGGCACGGGATGCACCAGAAGCAGCCTGCACCCGGGATGGTGCAGCCTCAGTCACAGCACCACTTCCAGGGTCACGGACAGTACCAACTGAACGGGGGTATCGAAAGCTCCCACCAGCCCCCTGTGGCAGGCTCAGCAAACATGCCTCTTACTGGGAATCAGTACTGGAACAGGAGTAACCCTGGTCCGCAACAGATAGGTTATAACTCCCACAGCATGTACGGGACCTACCAGGGTCAGGCACATCCTGGGATTACACCGTCACAGCATCACCAGCAGCAGTCCTTACAGCCTCCCCCTCATCAACCGTCACAGCAGCACCTCCACTCCCACCGTCATCCACACCATCACCACCAGCAGCACCAGCAACCACAGCATTATGGCATGATGCCTAATGGGATGCCCTACTACCAGCATCAGGCCCAGCACCCGTCCCTGCCGTCACCCCAGCAACAGCCACCACAGCAGTCTCAGCCCCAAACCCAGGCTCAGATGATGCCCCCAACATCCCAGAATTTTACTCCTCCACGTGGCAGCCCACAGCACCACAGCTTAGGCAGAGGGAGCTCCGGCAGCCCTCTTCCTGTGGGGGTGTCCTCAGCACCAACAGCGCAGGACAGTGGATCACCCAAGGGCCACACCAGGGAACAGAGCCCTCAAGCGACCAATGTGGGGATGTCTTCACCAATGCAAGGTGGCCACTTTACACTTGTTACACGTGGAACTATATAGCTCATTTGATTCTGTATGTGTTTGATGTTTCTCTAGTTTCTATAAAAATGTGTATGCTATCAGGTTTGTTTCTGGAACTGGATAGTTCTACATTTGACAGTGCTGCATTTTTGGTATCTATCCTTGATTTCCTCATAGATGAAACTTCTTCTATTTCCTCCTTTTTTTCTAGACCAGTACTCAAGTGATACTCATGTGGTTTTATTTCTCTTTGGTCATATTTGAAAAAGCCATTTCAGCTGACAGTCATTCTAAAACATGGCACTCCCTGGTTGTGTTGCAGCTTCCTGTTGCGTCTGTATATAATAACATTGTTGAAGCTCGGAGTCAAAGATTACAGGCCAACAGGGCATGTTTTCCTGGTTTTTGAAGTTGATTGTAAATTTTTAGAGCTGAAATTATCAGTAAGTTGAGCATCAGTGAGCTGAAACATGCTGCTTCTAGCTTCATGAATGTTAAGATCTGTGACTTTTTATTTTTAATTAAACACTGTATTCTATTACATTTTCTTTTTTTTTTTTGTCTTGCCAAGTAGTTGGACAGAATGTCTTTGGGTCTTCGATTAGACAAAACAAGACATTTTAAAGGGTGACGGAGCTATGGAAATGCGATGGACACTTGTCGCTATGGTTATAGACAAAACAATTAGCCAAGAAAATACTTAGCAGAGTCATTTATAATACGAACACTATTTACAATCCTACCTGCACATGAAGTGTGTGATATTGGGCCAGTTGCAACGGTGGTGCTTAGTAGTGGGATAGTGCCCAGATTGAACCAGTAGGTGTCACCGTTAGACTGTGCTAAACTGTTTGGATATAAACTGTCGTTAAGATGGTTTGTAAGGAGAGCTAAGAACATTTGAGTCCATAAAATATCGTTATTTATACATAATAAGTTTAATACATAGACAGAGAAATATTGAGTGCTTGATTGATTTCTTAATGGAAGTTGCAGCAGTTACAGTATAGATTTAAATTATCAGAGTGACCATGATGTGCTGTGTGAACATCCGCACACTGAGTTTATCAGAGTATTGACAGTTTTGTTGATTCTTTTTTTCTTTCAGGGCAAACTCGGGAAGCTGTCAAAGAGGTAGACACAAGTTATAATGGCAGTGAAAGGGCAACCGTTGCCCAGAGGCTACCCAAGATTGACAGTTACCAACCCAAACCTTCTGCTGCTCATGCGGGGCCTTCGAGTGAATACCGTCAGCATTCTGATAAGCCGGCAGCTCAGCGTCCAGAAATGGCTTCCCCCGTCAAAGATCCTGCCGTTAACCCAGCTCCCCAGTCTGTGTCATCAAATGCAGCTGCGTCAGTGTCTCTAACCAAGGCCTCAACACCACCTCGGGTCTCTGCAGCTCCCACATCTGCGCCTGGACCCCCTACAGTTCCATCCCTTGATGTAGAATCTACTCCACCACAAATCTCAACACCTCCCTTTGCTCCATCTCCAGCTGCTTCTCCCAGACTTTCCTCCCCTCCCCCAATGGTGCAAGGCCTCAGGCCTCCCACTTCTGTTGCGACTGAGACGTCTCCTGCCGTATCTAAGCATCTGTCAGCAGGATCCTCCTCCCCCCTGCCTGCATCTCCTTCAAAGTTGTCTACACCTCTTGCTTCGACTGATAGTGCATCTAGACCTGCAGCAGATTCTTCAGGGCCTCCAGCCTCTTCTTCGTCAGGGTCTGTGGTTCATCAGACAAAGTCAGCATTGCCTCCTACAGCTTCTGGACCTCCAACAACGGTGTCCAAGTCTTCTTCATCTCTGGAGATGAAAGAGTCCATGCCACCTTTGATGACACCCCACTTCACTGATCCATCTGGAGGTCAACATGAAAAGCCTGGACCTCCAAAACTGATTCCTGCTACTCTGTCTGTCGGTCCAAATTCCTCATCTCCTGTCGTGGCTCCATCTCAGATGTCAATATCTGGACCGTCATCCTCAACATCACTTGGCACTTGTTTATCAAAAACTTCCTCAGTTGGCAGTAAGCTTTGTGAACCAGCACCCCAGTGTCAGACATACACTCCTGCAGCTGTTGATTCGAGTCTTTCTACGACTTCTGCAGCATCATCACCACCAGGGGGGGTGAACTTACCCTCCCTAGCAGCCCATGATAGTCCTTCAGTCCGACCTCTGTCTACCCTACCTCTTCTAACCACTCAAGCCTCCAGGACTGCACCTGTGTCCAGCCCTCCTGCCTTGGTGTCTGTGCCTCCTGCAAAGGGTACGTCTTCTGGAGCAGTCCAAAGTTCTGACTCTGAGCGGCATCCGTCAAACACCACTCTTCCTCGTGTACTAAAGCAGTCGTCTCCCAAGTCAGAGCACCATGGTCACAGTGAGGACAGGAAAGTGTCGGTTACTAAAAGAAATGAAAAACCAGAGGATCACCTCCCTCAGCTTGACTCAGGCGGGAAAAGGTCATCACAGGTGGAAGAAAATGAGACTAATAGATCTGAAATTCGCTCACACAAATCCCTCACTGATCTCCCCGGGAAACCTTTACGGACCACAGTTTCTCCTGATCAAAAGTCCAAGAATAAACAAACAGATTCTGAAAAGCACCACATGCAACGCAGTGTCACCTTGGAGGCAGAGGACTCGACGATGAAGCAAACTCCACTCAGAAAGTCCTCACAGCTCAACAGCTCAAAGGTAGAACATCTGACAGATGAACAAAGTTTTGATAACTCTTCACATGCTGCCTCTCAATACGATGGCAGTTCAACATGTGACACCCCCTCGCGGCTCGATGTGAGCTCTGTCTTAGAAAAGACCTCTTATTTAGCCGGCTCCAGCTCATACGCAGATGACTCCACTCACTTTGATGACAGCTTTCTCCGGAGAAAGGACAATTCTCAGTTTGACAGCACTTCCCAAGCTGAAGAGGAACCATCTACTACATTTGACACCACTAGAGACAGCAGCTTTTCTGTGGAGGACTCCAGAGATGACACATTGGACTCTACCAGGGAAGGGGAAGCCTCTGACGCAGAAGAGACCAGGAACAGTTGCCAAATTACAGGAGAATCCACGTTGGAGTCTTCTCTAAACAACAGCTCTCAGGTTGAAGAGCTGCCCGTCGACTCAAGTGATGTGACTCAGCCAGGACATCGAGGTACTTCTATGATGTTTTTGATGATTGAAACTAATGTTACACAAGCAGCATTCATTAGCTAAAATATACAAATTTATTATACTAATGGGTTTCTTCCCTATTTGGAGATTTAATTCTCATCGAATAAAGAGAACTGCATTTCAAGTAGCTTGACTGTTTTGTAAGTTCTCTTGATTTATGAATTCTGCTGACACAGTTTTATGTTGTACCATGTCAGGACCTGAAGTCGAGTGGGAGCCCAGAGGACATGATACACCAGACTCAGCCGGACGCATTAATATTAAGACCACTGCTAATGAGACAATGACACCCCCAAGTTTCAAGATGAGAGATGAGAACTTCATCGCGTTCAGTACCCCAGCAGAGAGCCCCGCTGTACACCCACTCCAACCAGTAACTGATCAGACTGTGTCCGCCGCTGGAGGACTTCTGAAAACCCCAGGGAAACCACGCAAACCTCAAGCTCCAAAGGCAATATGGATTAAAACCACAGGTATTTGATGTTGCCAACAAAATATTACACTAATAGAGCATTCTTTTTTTTTTTTTAAACAACTTACTTAAAACTTTTTCTCTTTTGTTTTAAGCACCTGAGGGGGTCCAGCGGAAGTCTCGGGTTCGGATCCCAAAAGCAGAGAAGACAAAGGCTGATGAAGAGGAAGGTCCTAAAGAGGAGGCACCTAAAGGCAGGAAGAGGAAGAAGCCTCTCAAGGTCGATGTCAATGAAACATCTGGGGAGGCTGGGCCTCTCACAGAAGAGGTTGATCCAATAATGGCAACAATTGAAGCTGTTCTGGCCAACGCTTCGGCTATCAGCACAGCAGCCGAGAAACCCAAGAAGGCGAAAAGGGTTAGGAAACAAGACCAAGAAGGAAACGTGGGCAAAACACAAAAACAAGGTGCCGAAACGACTGCTGACAATGCTGATGAAAATGATGACGACAGTTCCACTGCAGGTAAAGAAGAAGGTTGAAAGTGTTGTGTAAGGTGACCCACATCATGTGATATTTTGTTGAGACATGATAACACAGATTAAGAATTTAAAGCCCAGGTTTGTGCATTTTCTCAAACAGGTGAATCTAACAGACGAAGGGTTGCGACGGAGGACCAGGTCCAGTTCCCTCTGCAGCACGGGTAATGATTGCTTTCACTGTTTATTGAGGCTTTCAATCAACAGGGTTGTTAAGAAATCGATCAGATCTTTTCATATGAACCAATTTTAGTCCTCTGATAGTACATCTTCATTTAATCTAAGTTGTTTGTTTAGACAGATAAAACTGTCTTAACTGTGTAAGAAGCGATCAAGCTAAATTAATATGAAAACTTCCAACGTGTGCTGTCTTTATATATTAGGGTAGCTTGTTTTGTTTTTTTTCCTTCTGCCATAGTGTTTTGGTTCACACAAATACAATGCTTTGAATGCATCATGACCAACAGTTTCCTCTTGTGTGCTAGGCCTATATTCATACTCATTGTGCTGATGTGACTCTGTTCATAAAACTGTAAATTTCTCTGAACTTCAGGCCAAAGTCAACAGCTTGTGATAGGTAGGCCAACAAGAGAGCAAAACAGTGTAAACAGAATCTAATTTCGCAGCCCTCTTCCTAACACAAACTACTCTCTGGAGACTATAAAAGTGAATGCTGTTATTAATCTTTGGACCTGTTTTGAAATGAAGAATAGAGCCCATGTATATATTTTTTAATAATGAAGAGTCAGGTCACCCAGTGCAACGGTGGGGTGACAGTGGAGCTCCATGGCAAATAAGATAAATCAGACACACATCCAGTACTTGTTAGTTAAATTATGTAATTGTTACAGTTTTTTTTTTTTATTTGTTATTTTGGACAACAAGAAAAATGTTGAACATCACCAAAGTCATCCTTTAAACTCTGTTTCCTAAAAACGGTGACAATGATGTAACAACGAACCCTTTAAACTGCAGTTGGAGGAGGGAGATTCGTGTGAAGAAATTGGAGAACCGCATGAAGGGTGAAACCTGGTACTACACCCCTTGTGGAAGGAGGATGAAGCAGTTTCCAGAAATAATCAAGGTGAATTGCCCAGGCCATAAAACCCCAAAGACCCCAAGGGGTCGTTTAAATAGTTGGAAACCAGAGTCATGTTGCAAACAATGATGTCAGTACACTGACTATCTTTTTGTCTGTTTCTTGTGCTGCTGTATCCTAATTGTTTCACGCAGTACTTGAAGAGACACACAGACAGTGTGGTCACCAGAGAACACTTCAGTTTCAGCCCACGGATGCCTGTTGGAGACTTCTATGAAGAGAGAGACACTTCAGAGGTCTGTATATATATATATGTGTGTGTGTGTGTGTGTATATATATATATATGTAATTATTATTATTGTTTTTTATGTTAAGATGAATGCAAAATCATTCGTAGAGAAGGATTTGGATCAAATCTGCTGCACAATAAATTAATAGTTTTACATGTCAGAAATGTGTAGAAGTCAGTTTGGAGTTAATATATTACATCTGCAATAATTTACAGGGTATGAAGTGGGTCCTCTTGGCTAATGAGGAGGTTCCCTCTATGATCATGGCTATCACTGGACGGCGTGGTCGACCACCAAACCCTGATAAAGAAAAACCTCGCAGGGTTCGTGGTGTGAGAGGACAGGCCCGCCGCCCTGGTAGACCTCCAAAACCCAAGATGATTGATCTCCTTAGCAAAGTTGACGCTAAGCTGCTGAAGCGTCTTGAGGCCAAGGGTGAGTGGAGGATGTATGTGTATCATAGTGGTATTGTTGAAACCAGATTCACACTACAGAAATTTAAAAATCTTAACAGAAGTTAAAATCAGGTTGCATTACGCACACAAAAGCTTTTCAGATATTTCTCTCTAATCTCAGACATGCACCAAGACCGAAAAATAATGGCACATCAGACAATACAGGTTGTTATTAAGATTGTGGTGCTAGAGGGACCAGTCAGGGAGCAGTGTGCCACCTCATGTGATCTCATGAGGAAGCAGATGTATACGAAATAAAGACTGTGGTGCCACAATTTGCTGTAACGCCAATAATTCTTTGAGAGAGATGAAAAAAAATGGTATCAAGACTCTAAACAAGTCTGAATGAGAGAATGTTTGGTGAGTTGCGGTCAGTACAATATAATGTTTATAGTTGCTGAGCAACAGAATCCGCTGCTCTTGGCGTAAGCGTGTTATTTGCACCCATTGTGATTTTAACTAGTAAAAATCAAACATGTTTGTTATTAATCTGGGCAGCCCTGTCGAGTTTACTTGGGGAGGTTTAAGTCTGGATCTGTAAACACCTCACATCTCTAGAAGATCCCAGGCTTGATTTCAGCTCCTACTGGAGGGTGAAATCGGCCCAAAACTTCTGTAGTGTGAGGCTGGCCTAAGAATTAAGCAATGGCTTTCAGAAGTCTAAGACCAGATGGATTGCTTATTACATAACCTAAGATATATACTCTGACTGTTTCTATTCCCCTTTTAATAGAAGCCCTCACGGAGGAGGAAAAGGAGAAACTAGCAAAAATCAAAAAGAAAATGAAGAGAAAGGTATGTAGTTGAGAATAGTTATGTTGTTCTGGTCTTCTGTTAAATCTCTTCCTGATTTTGTTGCTGCTGTTATTTTTTTCAGGCAAGAATGAAGAGAAGGGAGGATGCAAAGATTAAGAAGATGAAAGAGGAAAAGAAGAGAGCCAAGGTACAGAAACAGCCTAGTTATCTAAAGTTTAAAATGTTTTTTGTCACCAATGACCTCAGCACCACGTATTCATCATCTTCACCTGTTCTTTCTTTCCTCTGCGGCTTTTAGCTTGAGCAAGAAGCCAGAAACCTCGAGTTGAAGGCTGAACCAACAGACCCGACAGCCCCGCAGGCTGCACAGCCTGCATCGGAATCTGCTGCAGAGCCCAAGAAGCCTGGCCGCAGGAGGTCAGTCAAGGTTGAGGCCCCGCCACCAATACAGCAGACAGATGGGGAGAGGATAGCCCAGGGTAAGAGGGTGCTGGGTGCTCGGAGTAAAGCTAAGGCCCTGGCTAAAGCTCAGGCTGAGGCAGAGGCAGCAGCTCAGGCTGCTCTGGCAGCTAAAAGGGCAGCAGAGCGAAGAGCACAGGCCCAGAGACGTCTGGAGGAGCGAAAGAGGCAGCAGTTGATCGCAGAAGAGCTGAAGAAGCCCACAGAGGACATGTGTCTCACTGACCACAAGGTGAGTTTTGGTCCTCTCTGTTAAACCTGTGATTCCAGTTGTTTTGTCTTGTGATCATGACCTTAGAACTTTGTTTCCACCAGCCCCTGCCAGAGCTGTCACGTATACCTGGTGTGGTCCTCTCTGGAAAAGCTTTCGCACACTGCCTGACTCTCGTTGAGTTCCTGCATGGTTATGGGAAGGTCATCGGTCTCAATATACCCAAGGACATCCCTAGCCTTGCTACTCTGCAGGAAGGCCTCCTCGGCCTTGGTGAAAGCCAAGGAGAAGTCCAGGACCTACTGGTGAAGCTGATGGAGGCTGCGCTGCATGATCCTGGCCTGCCGCCGTATTATCAGGTGTGTGTTACACTCTGAACATTATCCCTATTAACACAACTGTTCAACAGTTGACAAATCATGTATTCTCATTTTTATCTCCTCCCCTCAATCTTCAGTCTGTAAAGATCCTTGGGGATAAGCTGGTTGAGTTGGAGCTGAACCGCAGCACAGTTTCAGAAGTACTCCGCATCTTTTTGGAGTCTCATGGTTATGAGACAGAGGTTTGCAACACTTTAAGGACCAAAACATTTCACGCCCTGCCTCCTGACACCAAGGCGGCCATCCTGGGTTTCGTTGTAGAAGAACTGAACAGCAGCAACATTGTGACTAGGTTCGACCAAGAAGCTTATTTATTCTTTGGTTGCTCTTTAATCTAAAAATGTGTTGCTTGTTTTGTAATTATCACATTTTCTATCACGTCATTTATGCTTGTGTTTTGTATTTCAGTGACATTGACAACACATTGGAAAACATGGCAACCTACAGGAAGAACAAGTGGATCATTGAGGGGAAACTGCGCAAGTAAGATCACTGTTTTCTCTTTTCACATACAGTATGATTAAGTAGCTTGCTCAGATCGGCCCATCAGAGCCATATGTTGATTCTGGTTGTTTTATCTCTGGCAGACTGAAGGCGGCGCTAGCACGTAGAACAGGACGCTCAGAGGAAGAGCTGTGCTTTGAGGAGAGGCGGCGCAGCGCCAGAGTAGCCGAGGAGGAGAACCTCAGTCTGGAGGAGAGTGGTCTAGTCCTGGAGAGAGGAAACCGTCGGGCACGCAAAGAAGAGCCCAAACTCAGTGATGTATGTATCAGCACCACTGTTTTGTTGAAATCCCGATCATTTCTACATTTCATTTTAATTCTTCTTTTGCTGCAGAGTGAGAGCCCTACTAATGCCAGCATTCCAGAGCTTGAAAGGCAGATAGATAAGCTAACCAAGGTAAGCCTGATACTGCACTGCAACAGTCCTTTATACATTTATGTCGCTTATATTAAACATTCTTTTCCCTTTGAACCTCCACAGCGCCAAGCGTTTTTCCGTAAAAAGCTGCTACAGTCGTCTCATTCCATGCGGGCCACACTGCTGGGTCAGGACCGTTACCGACGTAGATACTTGGCCCTACCTCACCTCGGAGGAGTTCTGGTTGAGGGACCTGAAGAGCTGCTGAGTGAGTCTGACAGTTAATTGAAATTTGTAGACTTTTTAAACCCTTGGCTTGTCTGTCTTTATTTACTTTTCCTTATACTTGTGTCTTGCAGCTTCAGGAGATGTCCTTGTAGCTGAGGTGCCTGTTACTTTCCTCAAAAAGGAGCCTAAAGTTGAGGAGGCTCCCATGCCGACCACTCCTCCTCCTACTCTACCTTCCTCTCCTTCTGCCACTGCGGGCCAGGCCCAGGCCCTGTCTCCAGAGGAGGACCCTCTTCCCGGCACTGCGTCCCTCATGAGCAGGCCAAGAGGACGCGGGCGCCCACGAAAAATCAAACCCGAAGTCGAGCTTCACCTCCGTACAGCAAAGATCCGCCGCCGGCGTCGAAGTAGCGTCAGGTCTGGGGGTGACGACGGGCCGGGATCACCCAACAGCGGCACGCAAGACCTCACGCAAGCAGCTTTCCAGAGCTGGCTCAGCCAATCCCAGGAAGGAGTCACCAATGGCACGTGCTCAGCGGCAGGAGATGCTCCAGAGGGTAATCGACCAGAGGAGAGCGTGAAAGAAATGGCGGAGAAACAAGGCCAGTGGTTCAACCTGCTCCCCAAACAACCGTGTGACGATAACTCTCTGACTGAACCCCAGATGCCCAAATCACCCAGCTCACCCCCGAAGCTTCTCCCTCAGCTCCCAAGTGGTCTGGCCACACTCGCTGCTCCACTTATGCAGGTTTGCCACCAGAATATTAACAATAAGTACATGCCTTAATAGTGCGCTTTTAGCCTGTATGATGTGGAAATGAATAATCTCTTCCTACTCCTCAGTTGGACTCGCTCTTGCCTGGCTTGACTCCTGCTGACCCTGTGACCTCAGCAACACAACAGGACGTTCCCCCTACTGCTTGTGCTCCACTGACAATCCCTCAGCTCGTTCCAGCTCCCATTGCTCCTGCTCCGGCTGCTCCCGCCGCCCCCGCCAGGCCAGTTCGTAGGCGGAGGAGAGGCAGCAGAGGCAGTAGTCCTGCCCGTAGAGGGCCACGAGGAGCTGCAGCTAAACGCCGCGGTCGCCCACCCAACTCCGTTTTCCAAGAACTCGAGCAACAGTACTTCACACAACTGGTGGTCAAACCCATACCAGCTTGTAAGTCATGTTTAAAAAGAAAGTGATTTTAAACCAGCACTCGGAGAGATGTATTTTCCTTTCTTGAAATTAATTTGACTGAATTGTAAAGCTTCTAAAGAATCTAGTTACGCTGAAACCGGTCAGCACTTTCACTCATGGTACTAACTCAATGAAAGCTTTCAATACATCTCCTCTTCTTCCTCTGAATGAGAGTTGCTGTGAGCACAATGCCTCTTCTCTTGTCAGTGAGTTCCTCAGTGATGCTGGAGTTTAAGACTCCTAATGTTCCAGTATTTTACAAGGAACACCATACATGCACACCTAATATTGCATCTTCTGGCTGACTTGCCCTTTCTGCTTTAAAGCTGTCTTTTTTGTCTGTGTAATAACATATAGCATGATGTCTTTGTTCTCCAGCAATGGTACGTGGCTGGTGGTGGATCAAGGAGCCAGAGGAACTGTACAACACCTTACAGGCCCTTCATCCAAGGGGCATCAGGGAGAAGGTGCTCCATAAGCATTTGGCCAAACACATGGAGAGCTTAGCTGAGATGTGCACCAAACCTGTCGACGGTGAGTGTTGGGAATAAGTGGATTGTTACACAGTCAGAGTCTGTTCAGAATTGTGCCTCATCTGTTTTTTTTTTCCCCCTTGATCCTTACCAACTAGACCCAGTATTTGAGTTGAAGGTAGAGGAGAAGGATGTGCTGCTGGAGGCTTTGCAGCAGCCTTGGCAGGTGCAGGAGAGAGCAATGGAGTCGGACATCAGCGCCCTACAGTGGGTGGAGGACCTGGAGCAGAGGGTCATTGCCTCTGACCTCCATTTGAAGGTGAGAAATTACTAAACCGTCGTGCATCAACAACTGCAGTCCATGTTGTATTGACAAAGTGAAATTGAAAATGTCATTACTTTAAAAACCATAATTACATAAATGATGACTGTCATAATGCGAAACTAAGAGGGAAAAAAAAGCAGAAATACAAAAATATTTGTTATGCCATTGACTGCATGTTCAAGTTTCTCTCTACTGACAAGATAAGTCATAAAATGCATCAAAATGCTCTCTAAATGTAGATACCTAAAAGCTTTAAGTGGCATCGTGTTTTTCAAGAAGTTAAATGTGGGATATGCTTTTGCCATGTGTTAATATCTGTTTACATGTGTTCTATTTAAACCACAAAAAATAGACAAATGACATTAAATGTGCATGTAAAATTCTGAAGTGAAACTCATTTATTAGTTTTTTGTGTTTCTTCAAGGCGCCTCCTCAGAGTGCAATGAGTGATGCTGAAACAAGCCCAGACACAACAATGGCAGAATTTCAGGTAATCAATAAAACACTCAATGACACATTTTAATCGTGAGCTCAAACCTACCGTGTTTAGGTTCTACCACTTACGCTCCATTTTGTCCCCTTAAAGCCGTACACAATCCCAGATCCAGACTCCACCCGTGATGACCTTCAGTACTACGAACACGACGCTGATCCACGTGATGACTGGATTGTGCGAACCAAGAAGGAATGGTCCGGCTTGCCTCGTATCGCCACACATCCGCTGGACCTGGCCGTGCTGCGGCTAGCCAACCTTGAGCGAAACATTGAGAGACGCTATCTGAAGGAGCCGCTCTGGAACCCAGCTGAAGTGATGCGCCTTGCTCCTCTCACTCCGACACCTGGAGAAGAGCATCCCATGGATGTCATCAGGTGAGACGAACAGTCTAGATTCATGTGTTTGTTCTTCATATTTTAGACATATCTATTAAGTAGTTTTTTTGTGTTCCAGTCTGGAAAGTGAAATCACCTCGCGACTACGAACATGGCGGCAGGCTCTGGATCGTTGCCGCAGTGCTCCCCAGATCTGTCTGTGTTTACATCAGCTGGAAAAGGCTATTGCTTGGGAGAGATCTGTGACTAAAGTGGTAAGAAATCTCACAACTGTCCATTCCGACTTAATTTCAGACAATGCTTCTTGGTCTATATGCGGTTTAGGGCTGCAAACTGCAAATGATAACACAAAATATCAACAGCAAATTCAGATTTGTTGTCATTTAAACACTGTGGATGATTTTTCTTTGATCTCTGTTTTCATAGACTTGCCAGGTTTGCAGGAAGGGAGACAATGATGAGTGCCTGTTGCTCTGTGACGGCTGTGACCGTGGCTGCCACATGTACTGCCTGAGGCCCAAGATCACCCAGGTGCCAGAGGGAGACTGGTTTTGTCCAACCTGTGTTGCGAAGGTTAGAACCCACCCGTGATTCCTCACTTTCTCAGGGCCATTTTGAATCCAAAAGCATCTTGTAGGAGTTGTTTCCCTATTAAGAAATGTATTCCCTGCTGCATTTTTCCCCCTCATTGACTTAATATGCTTCTTTATTTAGGAGGAGGATGATTTAGAGCACTTGTCCAAAAAGCGCACCAGGGTGAAGAAGAGACGATACGAAGACGACAGCTCTGAAGATGAGACGACGACAACACGGCGAAGTGGTGGCATGGCAACGCGGCACAAGGAGGCCGCGGCTCCTTCCTCATCTACCCGTCACTCTGGCGAAGGAGGCGGCACGAAACGGCGCCGCATGACGACACGCAACCAACCCGACCTCACCTTCTGCGAGTGAGTCTTGCCTCCATTGCTGTTGAGTTATTCACATGCAATGACATTTGCTCCAACGTTTTTGTTGCGGCAGATTTGTTTTAACACTTTGTTTCCCTGCCAGGATCATTCTGATGGAGATGGAGGCTCATGCAGATGCCTGGCCGTTCCTTGAACCCGTCAATCCCCGACTAGTGCCGGGTTACCGCCGCATCATCAAGAACCCCATGGACTTCCTCACCATGAGAGAAAGACTTCTACAGGGAGGGTAAGAGCTGATTACGCTTCACATCTTATTCGTACTTGATTATTAGCTAATTTTCAGTTGAATACTACATGGTAACTAGCTGCATCAATGTGCATCCATCGTATCCTTTCACATTGATACATTAAAAATGATCTCTGTATATTTAGACAAGTGTTTAGGAGATAAAGCAAAGGCACAAAACAAAAAGCAACCTTGATCATGCATTTCATCACACAAAATGTAATATTAACCCCCAATAAGGCAAATTCCTCTCCATTTAACCAATAAAATTCTCAGTGGTTAATAGAAAAACACACTGCAAACAATAACTTCACTAAAACATAGCTAGTCAGCAGCAGTGTGGTCAATTGCACAGCTGTAGAAATATCTGTCAAATATCAGTACACGTACAAAACAGTGAAATATTTCACTGAAAAACAAAATCTATACATTGATTCTCAAAGCTGACAAGTACTAGAGTAAAATCAGTCACAGTACAGTCAGAATTTGCACAAAAAGTCGATAGAAAATAGTGTCATTATCAGACTACATCACAAAGAGTATTTAGAAAATCCTATAAATCAATTTAAAGTCAGTTAAAGCCTTCAGATAACCAGAGTATCTCATCTATTATGCTACAGTATTAAGTATATCCTGTATAGTGTTTCTGTAAGCCTGTTTGTCCTACTTAACATCATATCATACATCTTTCTCAGCTGTGTTTGCTTCTGAGTTTGTTGCTTTCTTGTTGCCTAAGACTGCCTGATTGCTCTCTATTTACACTTAATCAAGTCCTTCTTGTGGTCTTTTAACTCTTTTGCGTTCTGTTTCCTTGTCTCAGGTACTGCAGCTGTGAGGAGTTTGCGGCGGACGCTCAGCTGGTCTTCAACAACTGTGAGCTCTTCAACGAGGACACGTCGGAGGTGGGAATGGCGGGACACTCCATGAGGCGTTTCTTTGAGAGCCGCTGGGCGGAGTTCTACTCAAACAGGGACAAATAGGAGCCTGCGACGATCCCCCTGATGGTGGGGCTGTAGACTGCTGGTGCTGCCACCGTCCCAGTCACAACTCTCTCCATTACTGCTAAGAGACTGTCTGGAGGTTCTTCCAGCTATGTGTATTCTCTCATGTATAGGTATATATGTATAGATTTTGGCTATTTGTCTGTTATTGTTTCCTCTACCGGCCTAATCTTTTCTAAAGGCTCACAGCTGAACTGGCTTGAACTTGTACCCATTCCTCATCACAGAGAGCGAGAACACGTCTCTCTTCACTCTCCATCTTTCGTGTCTCCTCATCTTTCACCTCAGCACCTCATCTCCTGTTTGCGTTCTCCTGTCATGTCCTTTCACAAGCCCCATGTCGTAGCGAGGCCTTTGGTCAAGCCCCGCCATGGGCTGATCACGCGGTCTCAGGCCCTGAGTATTTTGGCTTTCAGACTCACACTGAAGGTCAGAGACTGATCACGCTAGTGCAGCCTAACTGCTGCGTACTGGACCTGCTTAGCACCGCTTGACAACAAAATGGATCAAAACTCTTCACAGAGCTTGGGCCATTTCTTACCTGTTCATTGGAAATGTAATGTAACGTGGTCTTATGCCTAGAAGTAATTTTTTTGCTCAATATATTTTTATTATATATTCTATATATAAATATATATAAAGATTACAATAGCTGGGATTATTTAATAGCAATAGCTTGTAGTGAATGTGTACAGATTACCTTATAGAGATGTCTAGACGATTTATGAAAAGGCCAGTTAAACTAAAAGGAATCTGTTCTTGGACTGTCACAAGTAGACGTTGTATAACCTCCACTTAAAGTCTTGCACGCACACTTACACACTTTTCACCCAACACACACATACACGCACACGATTTCACACACATACTCACCTTCTGCTGCTGTGTGAAAGACACTGGTTTCTGGAGGATTTTTAGTGCTAAGTCAGTCAGTCTTAGATTCTTGAATTTCACTGTCCCTCCTGTTAAGAGCAAATACGCAGCTAGTTGCATCTGATCTTTGTCATGGATTGTGTTCAACCAAGCAGATGCTACTTTAGCACCTGTTAAATGGTCTGTTTGCGAGGACACACCCTGAAGGTTTGCTCTTACACTGTAATCGTCACTGACAGGTCTGTCCAACATTACCGCATGTCTGACATGATAAAGTCTGCAGCTTCCAGCCTGCAGCTGAGCAATTGTTCCGTGTTTAAAGTAACACTCATGCGTTTGTTTGTCTGTAGCTCGCCTGACCAGATAAAAACCTCTAAAAGTGACTACAGTAGACTAAAATCCTCTCATTTTAAAGACTAGAATTGTAAAGGAGCTCTGCTAATGAAGTTACCGGGCACATGGCTGTCCGGTTTTCTGTCTTACATTCCTTTTATTGATTTGTTTTGTGCTGTACAAGGGCCAATGTACGACGATGCACGGCATGGTTGGTGTGCTATGAAGGTGACAGGATGACTCCACAGTCTGGGTTTTATTTAAACTTGTTTTCTTACACTGAACTCAAATCCGTTGATAGGAAATAAACTTTGATGTTCCTTATTACACTTAAAGGGACGTGATGTTTTTTCAAAAAAAAAAAAAAAAAAGACATGAAAACCAAATGTGGTGTTAAGTGAATTTTTTAAAATGTACAGTTTTGGTGACTTTAAATTTGTTCCTTTATATTTTTAGGACCAATTCATCATTTTTAAGAGGAGGTATTACAAGACTCTGTTGTATTAAGGTGATGTAACACGTGTGCATCTGTAGAATGTACTGTGAGTTGAATAAAAACCACATCTAGTAGAGAGTATTTTGTTTTTCTCCTGCATCTCTTTGCTTACCCCAGCTGTTGGGCTTACCTCAGGTTTAGTCATGTGAAGCAATTTGGCAACTCAAAACTACTGATAAATGGAGGTTTTTGACTGTTTGTGTTGAACATACAGTGCAGCCAGAAAGTATTCACAGCACTTCACTTTTACCACATTTTGTTCTGTTACAGCCTTATTCTAAAATGGATTAAATTCATTTTCCCCCTCAAAATTCTACACAAAATACACCATTGTAACAACTTAAAGTTTTTTTGGTTTTTTTTTTAGATTTTTGCAGATTTATTAACAATAAAAATCTAAGAAATCATATGTACATAAGTATTCACAGCCTTTGCTCAATATTTTGTTGATGCACGTTTAGCAGCAATTACAGCCTCAAGTCTTTTGAATATGATGCCACAAGCTTGGCACACCCATCTTTGGGCAGTTTTGCCCATTTCTCTTTGCAGAACCTCTCAAGCTCCATCAGGTTGGATGGGAAGTGCTGCTGCACAGCCATCTTCAGATCTCTCCAGAGATATTCAATTGGATTCAGGTCTGGGCTCTGGCTGGGCGTCTCAAGGACATTCACAGAGTTGTCCTGAAGCCACTCTTTTGAGATCTTGGCTGTGTGCTCAGGGTCGTTGTCTTGCTGAAAGACGAACTGTCGCCCCAGTCTGAGGTCAAGAGCGCTCTGGAGCGGGTTTTCATCCGGGATGTCTCTGTACATTGCTGCATTCTTCTTTCCCTCAATCCTGACTAGTCTCCCAGTTCCTGCTGCTGAAAAACATCCCCACAGCATGATGCTGCCACCACCATGCTTTACTGTAGGGATGGTATTGGCCTGGTGATAGGCGGTGCCTGGTTTCCTCCAAATGTGATGCCTGACATTCAGGCCGAAGAGTTCAATCTTTGTCTCATCAGACCAGAAAATTTTGTTTCTCATGGTCTGAGAGTCCTTCAGGTGGATTTTGGCAAATTTTAGGCAGGATGCCATGTGTCCTTTACTAAGGAGTGGCTTCTGTCTGGCCACTCTACCATAGAGGCCTGATTGATGGATTGCTGCAGAGATGGTTGTCTTTCTGGAAGGTTCTCCTCTCTCCACAGAGGAACGCTGGAGCTCTGACAGAGTAACCATCAGGTTCTTGGTCACCTCTCTGACTCAGGCCCTTCTCCCCCAGTCGCTCAGTTTAGATGGCCGGCTAGCTCTAGGAAGAGTCCTGGTGGTTCCAAACTTCTTTCACTTACGGATGATGGAGGCCACTGTGCTCACTGGGACCTTCAAAGCAGCTGAAATTTTTCTGTATCCTTCCCCAGACTTGTGCCTTGAGACAATCCTGTCTCTGAGGTCTACAGACAATTCTTTTGACTTCATGCTTGTTTTGTGCTCTGACATGCACTGTCAACTGTGGGACCTTATATAGACAGGTGTGTGCCTTTCCAAATCATGTCCAATCAACTGAATTTACCACAGGTGGACTCCAGTTAGGCTGTAGAAACATCTCAAGGATGATCAGTGGAAACAGGATGCACCTGAGCTCAATTTTGAGCTTCATGGCAAAGGCTGTGAGTACTATATGATTTCTTAGTTATTGATTTTTAATACATTTGCAAAAATCTAAAAAAAAAACTTTTGTAAGTTGTCATAATAATGTATTTTGTGTAGAATTTTGAGGGAAAAAAATGAATTAAATCCATTTTAGAATAAAGCCATAACAACAAAATGTGGTAAAAGTGAGGCGCTGTGAATACTTTCCGGATGCACTGTATATAGACTAGCATTTGCTGTTCAGGGCCTAGTAGGAATATAGTCAGATATTGCTGCATATATGGTTACTAACAGGATTTTAAGGTTGGATGTAAATCATTTGTCTAGCACATTGAAAATACGACAATCGACACAATTAACATGAGTATTAGTGACTATATTGGACATGTGTACTGTGGTTAGGATTTTTTCCCCTTTTGTCCATGTAAAAAATACTTAAAAGATTTTCAATTAACTGAATTCCCACATTCAAGAAGCTAGTACTAATAAATTTTTTAAAAAATGTAGTGCTAACACATATACACAGGAAGATGTAATCCAGTTTCAACCGAACCTCACTGGTCTGCGTAGTCTGACCAAGGTAAGGTTCAAAAAGCTTTTAATTGAGACCTTAAACCATAATAAAACTGCTCAACAAATGTTTGTACTTCCATACAAGTGAACCATATGCCCCATGTTGGTTGATTTTCCCTCTAATTAGTCATCTGCACTGTACAAGGAATTATAGAACAATTTTAACTTGTGGACTCACTGATGCCAGACACAGTCGACCGCATGCCAACTTACAACAATTGAAGGATCAACTTTTGGAATTTGTGGTATGTTTGTGAGATGGTTAAAACATCTCTCTGCCCTAGTACCACTGATGGTAAGTTTAGAATACTACATTAATATTGCTGTTTCCTATATGTTGGGAGCTTCAGTAAATACAAGGACAGCTTTCTCCAAAATAAAGAGACACTGTAAAGACGCCATTTTTCTGAACTTTCTCCGTCCTTCTTCCCTCGTACGTCTCGCTGCAAGGGGTCACATTTAAGGGTGAAGAAAAGCTCATAACCCTGATGGAAGTCTGGCGAAAGTGTTTGAGCGGGGTTCTGCAGCTCCCTGGAGAGTCCTGTCTAAAGCACATGCTGCTGAAAACGTCCTGCCATCACCCCCAGCTGCTCTACAGGGGCAGAGACTTGAGTTCAGCACATGAGCTCATGCGCAGAAATATATTCTGCACTCAAATCTGCCGAATATCTAAAAACAAAAACCACAAGACAGTCGGATTTTTGAAAAATAAATCAATGAATGCTGTGTCTCTTAGCGCATCTCTTCCTTTCCCTTTGCCCTCCATCACTCTTTCAAATCCCTGAGCTTGCACTTTGCACAAGTGTGTATATGTGTGTGTGAAATTGTGTCGGTGTCAGCACTCTGGGTGGGTGGTGGGGGCTGCAAAACTCCCCACGCCAGCGGGTTCCAGGGCGCCCCCCGCCCGTCCTGCTCCACACATTTGGGCTTAGCCCCACAAAAGGGGGGATAACAGTTACACAGTTGCCGTGGAGAGGAGGGGGTAATCCACGGCATAATGGGGCACACCAGCAACCCCACCCCCGGACCAACCAGTTCATTCTGGACTCTGTGTGCCAGATTGAGGGCCCCTGATTCGTGGAGGGTCAGTAAAATTCAGTTCAGACTCCAAACATTTCCATACATCACCACAAACATCATGCCAGCTGCCTCTGAATGAAGAAAAACGATAGCATATATATATCTATATAAAAGAAATCAGCAGTGAGATGGGTAGCTGAAAAGGTGAATAATATCAGTTTTGAGCTAAACTGAAGAATGCTGTCTGTTTTTATGTGTGTTTGCTTGATATCAAAGAGGGAAAATGAAAAGCGTGCACAGATGCAGCATCTCAATAGGCTCTATGGCAACAGCATCATGAAAGGGTTCGTCCCCATGGTGATCAGAGCGGCACCTCGCAAGTAGTTTGTAAAAGGAAGAGACAGAGGGTGTGTGGGCATCATATCTGAGCTCTCTGGATGTAATGTCAGCACAACATCAGGCATTTGGTTGTGCCTTTAACCTTATACTGCGAGTCTCCTGCCGTATAGCACGGAAAGGTAGTCGATCCTGCTGCAAATCGGGGCCCTTTGAAAACCTAATTTCCCTCCAGGAGATAAAGCTTTAGAAAAGAGACATGTTTACCTCACATTTATCTGCAGCTGAAATGCAATGTGTCACACGATAGATGATTTCAAAGCAAAGGATGAGGTCTGTTCCCGTTGTTCTGGTCCTCTCTGCTCACTAATTGCCCCTTTTCTACTATAATTGATATGAAAATCAGGCTGAGCAACAGTAATGTGCTCCAGGTGCTCAGGACACGCCAACGCAGTTCAGCCGGCAGGAGAGGACAGAGCCACAAACACCTTCGGGTTTATGTAGTGTTGAATGTGGGCTATTTCTGCCTTGTTGTTTAAGGATAATGGCATTGATATTTGAATAGAAATGCCACGAATAGACCAAAGCCAGCAATACATTACTGTTTCTAAATGTCTTTAAATTTAAGCATCCTATCTGTGGCATGCAGCCCTTCCAGTTACTACTGAGGAATTAAATATTTAACAAAGCTAAGAGCAATGCTAGTCATGCTAACTACTCTGTCAGGCAATGTTTTGAACTGAATGCTAATGTTAGCATATACTTGCAATGATGCTACTAACATGCTCATGGTAAGCAGATGTAATATTGTTGTTCACAATCCAAATTTAGTGAGTAAGCATGGTAACATTTCCTGATGAACCACAGTACCTATTGGTCAAACAAGCTAACATGCTAGCAGTTATATCTTACATGCTAATAGAAAGCAGGTATAGGAATGTTGTTCTCAGTTTAGTATGGTCAAATTTGCTAATTAGCACTAAACACAAATTGGCAGTGGGACTGTATTTATCAATGAAGGGGAATTAGTGGATCATTAAATAGCTGTACCAAATGTCTTGGCAAACCATTAATTAACTATACACAGCAAACAGATATGAAGACCAACACTGCTGTTCATACAGCCATGCATGGCCAATAACTTGTCCTAGATATACAGTTTCATGAGCACAGGCATTCATATGTGCATACAACACCAATGTAGTCTAGATTATCCTTGTCTATTCGTCCTTTATCTTCTGCATACCTGGGGTCAGCAGAGCATTTCAGACGTCGCTCTCCCCAGCAATGTTTTCCAGTTCCTACAGAGGGGATCCCAAAGTGTCCCTGGCCAGATGAGCTAATTCCTCTATCAAATTCTGGGTCTACCCTCCACAGGAAGGTGTCCAGGAGGCATCCTAATCAGATTCCCAAACCACTTCAACTGGCTATGTCCAACACGAATGAGCAGCAACTCTACTTCGAGCTCCCTTCAGATGTCTGAACTCCTCACCCTATCTCTCAGGCTAAGCCTAGTCACACTACAGAGGAAACTCATTTTGGCCTCTTGAATCCACAATCTCATTCTTTTAGTCATTACCCAGAGCTCATGATCATGTAGGTGAAGGTTAGAACAAAGGCCAAATGGTAAATTGAGAGCTCTTCACGACAAGTCTTCAACACAAGTCTGGTGCAACACCTGCAAAACTGCAGATGCAACACCACATTGTCTGTGAAAGGAAGAGATGTAACTCTAGGGTCTCGGAAACCAGATGCCCTTCTCGCCCCTGCTGTGTCTTGAGATCTTGTCCATGAATATCACAAACAGGATCGGAGACAAGGAACAATCGAGTGAGGTCCAATACCCACCAGGCCTACCACTCATTCATTTTAATAATCTCCAGTGATCATGATCACTGTCACGTTTTATAGACTAGCAACAGTTCTATGAGAATTACCATAATGTTTTCTTTGCAGATGTGTGGGCCTGTGAAACCCTTCGAGATGACAGTGGCTTACCTGTCCAGATAAAGAATGACAGGCTCTGAATCCAACTTGAGGCAATCGCGACATACACTTTATCTTTGAAATGCTTCACTGGTGTGGACACGCGTTTTGTTGCGTTGTCAGAATCTTTTTGAGTTTTTTTTGAGAAGTTTGTTTTCATATTTTTTGCTTTGCAGTGTAGACAGTCGTTGCAACTTATCTTGCAGGAGTTTCCTCCATTTCACCATCTGAAGGGACGTGCATGCGCATCTGTATTTACAAAACAACCAATAGGAACACAGTCACTCTGAAAAGATCTGTGATTGGCTGAAGTCTCTCATCATGGGTTACATTTTCTAAAGCCTGAAAACAGAGCCAAAGGCTCTAATTTCCTCTCAGATCACTGAATGCTAAAAGGTTATGATTGAATTTTAGCCCAATGCCATCTCAAGAAACACTACATAGCCTGGCTTTAAACAGCTGGGCACTGTAGTGTTTTTGGGGGGGCAAATTTTATTCAAATAGAGGTATGTAGTGTTTTTGTTGAGGACTATCGTCAGCTGTATATTTGCTATAGGAAATAAGACGAAGTGTATTTGACACTCAGTAAAGCGCCCACATTCACTGACATAAAAGAACAGTGCAGCAGTGGGGGTTTGGACAACAGTGGAGACAAGAAGAAAGAAACTACTCTATATCAGTCTGAATAGACTTCTCAGTAGGAACAAATCACTGTTTTGGTCTTTTCATGGGTTTTGCTAGTAATAAGAAAAAAACGGAATATCAGTAGACTTATATCTCAAGATCAATCACTTGTAAAAAAAAAATGTAGGTCGACAAAATAATGCAAACATTTGAATATCGTAATCCTCATGACTATTCTATGTAATGCATTTCTGTAAATATGTTTTTATTTGTAGGTGCTTTGGCTTCTTTTGAACTTTCAATTGTGTGTCTTGTATGTTAAAATATGGCTGACAGTCACCACTTACTTACATTCACCTTCAGTTAAAAGGACTCACCTTTGTAGCACTACTTCTGATTGTGACCAAGTTATTTCCTACCCTTTACCCTATGTGTTTAAATCATTTCGTGTTCCTCACTCAGTGCATGTTTTTAGCCAGCTGTGTATTTGATTTATCCAGACATTGTGCAACCCTCTGAAGTGGCCCACAATCACTTCAGTTGGAAGACGAGTGAAAGGCTCCTCGTAGTTTTCTGAAGATGTGGTCAATTGCTCAAGGTCAGTGAATTTGATGGAGGAACATTTTGAGGTCAGGATGTTGTACATGCAACCCTGGAGAGACATATTTGCAGTGACTAATGCATGTACAAAGGAAGACTTGAGAAGTGCCCGAGGTGAGGGGAAAGGAGAGGGTGAGGAAGAGAGAGAGAGAGAGAGAGAGAGAGACAGAGAGGGAGGAGGCTGCTCTCATCAAAGGACCTCTCAAGCTCTACAAGTTAATGAGGGACATAGCCGAGACCCTGAAGCCCCCAGACCCCGACAGCTACGCACAGACAGACGGACAGGCAGACCGACAGACGGACCCAGTCACAGAAAAAGCTTGAGGACAACATACTAATCCAAGTTTGAAATGACGTGGCGTGAGGTGAGTATCTTGACCTTGTGTTTTGGGGTTTTTATTGTCTTACAGGAGAAGGACTCTGGAAGAAACTGGTTTTAATCACATAGGAGTGCTTGGATATTTGTGTTTTTAGGTGCTTTTAGCTACAATTTCATTTTATAACTCAGTCAGATGGCTATGAAATGTTAAAATTTTGGTATTTATAATAAGTGCTTCTGTGCTTAACTTGATCAATTCAACAATAACTGTGACTATGATGAGATGTTAACGTATATTTTGTCAACACTGATCTGACTTGTTAGTGTTAGATATGATGAAGTGTTGTCCCTGTATGGCTTTTTAGTGTTTTTAGGGTGTGTTTTGTTTTAGGAAGAGGCAAATTGCTAAACGTAATCATCAGCATGTTGTATACATCTACAAAACAAGTATTTCTTAGCTGTTTTTCCTGTTTTCATTGGACACAAAGTTACTTAGTGAACTAATTACGGTTGTGCCTCCCTTTTCCGAGGAGCTACGTAGTCGGCAGTTCTGGCGTGCCATGATGGCAGAGCTGCTCGGCACCCTGGTGTTAGTGAGCGCTGTGCTGGGTGCCTCGGTGCCAGGCCCTGGAGAGGCCCCCGGGGGACCCCTGTACCCAGCTGTGGCAGTGGGTGTGGCGATTGTGGCAATAGCGCACTGTTTTGGAGAAATAAGCGGAGCACAGGTGATCTTTTTAAAATGCAGTGCCAATACTACACTGTGTAAAAATACTCAGTTCAAGTCCTTTCTTGTGAAAAGTACACAAGTGTTACTAAATGTGTTCTCAAAGGGGCCAAAGTGTATTTTTAAAAAAAAGAAAGTGCTTATTATAAATGATTTATTTCTGTGATATTAACTTTTTGTTTTAAGTATTTGTATGTACAGTTAGGTAGTTTAGTTTACTGGATCCCAATCTAGTGGTTAGTTTCTCTCCAGAAAGTCATAGGTTAAATATAATGGGTCTTCTAACCAACAGCAGTCCTGATCATATCTACCAAATATCTATTATCAGATGTGTAACCCTTAAAAGCCATTTTAATATGATGCCAAAAAGGAAATATACTGAATGCTAGGAGGATTTTTTTTTTCATTATCACAGTTTGGGATATGTCAGTAACAGCATTGATGACTTGATGCAATTCTATTTTTGTGCAGTGTCAGACTGAAAAAACACACACTTAGGACCTTAACGACAAAAATATCATACTTTAAAAAAATATATATATTAATGTACTTTCACGCTCATTGAGTTTTTTTTTTAAATGATCAATATGACAAGAAGGGAAAAGTTCTGGCAAAGACATTTATATTAACTTTGGACTAATCTTTATTTAACAGTAAGTAATCTTCTGTCTGTGGTCTCTGCTACATTACATAAAAGGTTTACAGCAGAAATGGCAATTTGGCGACACTGATGTTTGTAATGGTTGTGAACCGCTGGTTTAATCTGTAGTAATACACTGTATTTTATAAACGTGTTTGTTTTTAGATGTACAGTCTAATCTGAAAAATAACTAGTGACGACACCTTTTCTACAAAAGAAAAGTAAAAGGAAATATTGAAGTAAATCATCGGACATTAGAGTTTTTACCGTCCTCAGCATTTTTATATGTGACTGTGTTTGTGTGGGATCAGGTGAACCCTGCTTTGACTCTGTCTTTCATGACCACACGGAGGCTGGATGTTCTTCGGGGCCTTGTTTATATGACTGCTCAGTGTTTGGGGGCCTCTTTAGGAGCCGGAGCCCTCTACCTGGCTCTGCCTGTCAAAACCACTGCAGACCATTTTGTCAACAAGGTCAGTTCCCAGAAGATGTGTTACTTTATAAGGTTTTAGATATATCTTTTCTAAATATTTCTGTTATTTGGTGAACCTTATCCTCTTCACCCCTCCCAACTCCTCTTTTCCTTCACTCAGGTGCCCATTGAGTTAAATGCAGCTCAGGCTCTTGGCATTGAGGTTCTGTGCACCTTCCAGTTGGTCTTCACTGTCTTCTCAGTGGAGGACCAGCGACGGAGGGAGAGTCCAGAACCAGGAAACCTGGCCATTGGATTAGCACACAGCGCTGGAGTGCTAATAGGGGTAAGAGGAGCTTTTGTACAGATTTATACTTCACTTGGTTTCCAGTTGTGATTATTTTTTAAAACTGAAGCCACTACAGGTTTGACTTCCTCCCACACACACACACACAGCACACTGCAGCTTTTGTGCTGCTAACACTCACACTGACACACACAGATCAATGATCCTATTTTGAAATATGTGACTAAAATTTGTTTCACAGACAATGTGTGGGTGTGGTTGGCGTACATTCTAATTTTGATTAGAGAGAACACCAGATGACTCATGTCAGACACATTTAGTAAAAGAACAGTTACCAAAACTTTCCCTTTAATAACAGAAACAGAAGCAACCCCAAAAAACAAAAAAACAGTTTTATCAACATTATTAACATTTTCACTTAAAATTATGAACATTTATATTTTCTTTAATTCTTACCAAATTATAATCCTTATTTATGCCAAATAATAACACATATCTACAATGTATATTTGCATGATGACCAGATCGTTGCCACTATTATGTAGCAGAAAGTAGGACATTTTGCTCTCTAATAATCTTATGTGGAATTAGCATGTGAACAAACATTTCTTTTTATGAGATTTATCTCACAATCTAAAAACATACAGGTCTGACAAATTGGGGTTTGAGACATTGTCTGTCTCTGACAGTCTGTTAGTCTGTCCAGAGTATTTCCTGAGTCTGAATGTGAATAAGGGAACAAGGATGACAAAATAGGTCAGTAAATAACCTTTATGTAATTATGTAATTTCTCGGAGATCAAAATCTCTTTCGCAAGGGAGACTTGAGTACCACAGATGAAATCAAGCATCACCAGACAAAAACATATACAGCATCCGAGGCAATATATTAAAAAAAGATATGTTGGAATCAGAGTGAAATATTTGCTTAAAATTTCTGAATGCTTAAAATTTTAAATGAAGACTGGTACAAAATGGAGAAACTTCACCTGAAAGAATCAAAGCAGATTTTCCATAACAGCCCAGATGAAAAGCAGAACCACCCAGTAACAGGGTGGCAGCCTCGAAGCTAACCCGATGTGTGTTGTCAATAAAGTCTGTCAGGAACAAATGAAATGCAGCCATTGAAGACATTGTATAATATGTTGTTCCAAAGATGCGTTGTGATTAGGGAACACTGAGGATACACTGAAAACAGCAATATCTGCTATAAAGGTTTTTCTTAAAGCATTCAAAAAAAAAAAAAAAAGCTCTAACAAGACATTAGTGGAGCCTCTGTGGTTTAAACTTAATCAGCACTTTTATTTAGTGGGAAAATCGAAAACCTGTTGAGATTTATGTTTATACAGGAATTAAGAAAAACTGTTACATGAAACATGATACAAACAAATACCTGAAATAAGTGGAAAGAGATTAGCCTTTTACAACACATCCGTTTTCTCATGATGCTCTTTCTAGATCTGAACCCTTGACGTGGCTTATTTTTATGAGAGCGTTGTTTGTCTGTCAGGCTCGGTTCTCAGGTGCGAGTATGAATCCTGCGCGCTCTCTGGGTCCAGCCATCATCACCGGCTTCTGGGAAAACCACTGGGTGAGCAATGAATCGAAAATCCAGACCTGTCCGCATGGAAACGCTCATCACACTGACCACCTTAAGCTGCTGTTATTGTCCCATTTAGTCAGTGTACATTACTTAATGAGGAATCTAAGCAATACTGTAAGATTCTCTGAATGTGAGACTGATTAAGTAGAGACAAAAGTAACTGAGTACATTTGTAGGTAATGTACTTCAGTGCAATTTTGGGGTACCTGTGGTTTACATTTGTATTTTTGATTTTCTGTTACTACCCTTGCTTTAATACTTCAACACATTTATTTGACAGCTATAGTCACTAGTTGCTTCTCAGATTAAAATTTCACAAAAATGTGTTTTGTAAAAGACATATTTCCTCTTTAAACATCAAATGATTTAATTTAATAATTGTTAGGCGGCTGGACAGGTAAAGTTAAAGCATATTCTTCAATAAAAAAAAAACAAAAGGGAGAAAAATACTACTAAACTACTAAACTGTGTCTAAAATAGTTCAAATTAGGTCGACAATGACATTAAAATCCTATCTATGGAAACGTGGATGCATTGGAATCAAAATCTAATCATTAAAAATGTCACCCATAATGTGAGACTTCTACTTGTAATTAAGTTGAATGTTTTTTTCTTAACCCATCTCCATAAAGTGAAAGCTCTGTCCATTCTCATCTCTTATGTTTCATTATACCTCCTTCCTGCAGGTTTACTGGATCGGACCGGTGCTCGGTGCTGTTCTGGCCGGAGTGTCCCATGAGTTCTTCTTTGCACGCAGCGCCTCTCGTCAGAAGCTGGTGGCCTGTTTGACCTGTAAAGACATTGAGATCGTAGAGACGACCAGCATGACGGGATCATCTCTGTCCACCGTCACACAGAACGCAAGAGCCAAGCAGGCCAACAAACAGGAGAACAACTGACATAAAGAAGAGCCGCATAGGAGCACACACGTTGTACAGCATCACAGCGATTTTTATGAAGATGCACCGTGTACAGTTCATCACGCTTGACTGTAGTGGGGACCAAAGAAAAAGGAGAAGTTGTGTTAAAGGTCAAACTTCTCACACATAATATGCTGTAATAAAGAAAATGAGACGGTGGCTGCCAGTGACCAAAGTACGGAAAAAATCAATTTATATAGAATATTCAATATAAACATTATTTTTTTGAGTTTTAAAGCACCCGATAAAGAAAATGCTTTCTCAAAAGGAAAGTTGTGCAAGAGAGAGTGTAACTGTACAGAGAAACTAAACAATGTCTATCAATGGTGACAGTTTATCCAGTTAAAAATGTCACGTCGAATCCCCAAACACACCTGACCGTCATCAACTTACCTTTAATTTTCCCAGTTAATAAAAAAATAAATAAAGTAGGAAAACAGTGGAAAGTGTATATTATATATTGGACTTACATTTGCTATGTAGACAGAAAAAACCTAATGTTGCGCCATAATTGTTGCATCTTTTAATATCCAGCTGTTTGCTAACAAGTTTGCCAGATAACTAAAAAGACAATGATATATCAGTATTGTGTTCAAAACTTCATTATCTTTGCTATTGCAGGTTTATGGAACAATAGGAAATAAAAAATGGGAGCAGTTGCACAAGTAGAGAAGAGCCGTATGTCTGTAAACAACTCGATCTGTTATAAATCAATATGTGAATCTAAAATCTGCTGACATTTGAAACTAAAAGCTACTGATCAAGCCAAACTAAATGAGGATGCAGCAGCAAAAGCCCTGGGTTACTTGTTATGAAATCAGCATTTCTTATGTAAAGGGAATGAGATATTTCTTCTTTTAAACTCAGACAGTCTTGATTTGAAACTGTTAAAACTGTTTGGCTTGATTTGGAGTCCTCTTGTTCTGTGTGTGACTGAAATTTTCCAGAAGGGTCATATGTCTGCAGGCACTCTGTCGCTAAATGGTCAGGGAGCATGCAAACGGGTGCCAAATGATCTGAGCAGCAAGTCACTGATTCTATATAAATCCAGAAGGCCCAAGAAATAATCCTTTAAAAGAGGCAGCAACGGGAGGGCTACTTTAAGCAACCATCTGTTACGTTTTCAGTGAGCTTCTGTCGAAACAGTAATGACACGCTGTTGAGGTTCATAATGTTATAAAAATCCTGGCTAAAATGATTTTTTTTTTTCTCTGATGTGCAGAGAAATTAATGTAGAAGCTGCATTTTAATCCGACTAGATGTGACCCTTAAGGTCCCTGTTGTCTGTCATTAGTGTGTATAAAGGTGTATCCAGTATTGTGAGATCTAGCATTCACTTTCACATTTGCACATCATTATAATATGTCATAGAGACTCATTGAAATCCTGCTGAAAAACACCCTTATGTTTCGGTTGCATCTCATGTTTGTGAATGCTTTGAAATGCTAAAGAGGTCCTTACTCTGCACCGTGGTTTCAATGATGCTCTCAATCAGTCCAGCGTCTGTCTCATGTCTGTGCCTCCTATTCACAATCAAATTGACAACATACCTCTGTAATAGCTCTAAAGAGCACTTTCAGTTGGGATAAGCTTTGTTATTTGAAATGGATATATTGTGCGTACGTGTGTGTGCATACTCTTTGGGTGTGTGAGAGGTACTTTTTGCTTTCATGAAACCTTTAATCAGATTTGTATGTTGGTATAAACTGCCATTTTTGCTTTGTTTTAAAATATACAGCAATTTGCATGTCATTTAAAATATCATTCAAAATACAAAAAAATAACACTTTGCAGCTGGATTTGCTTTGTCTAGCAATGTATGTCTCCTTCTCTTTACATACGATACCACCAATGGTAAATTCGATTCTTGTACACTTTAAAATTAATATGGAACATGATAACATAATCCTGTAGGGGGATGAATGGGGGTAATGGCTTGTCTAATCTGAACCAGAGTGGTGTTTTGTTATTGGACTTCTGTACTAGGTACAGATTGTCCATAACGAATGCCATGTTGGAGCACAGGGTGGCTCATAAATGTACCAGATCACTTTAGGCAAAAAGTTGTTGATTTACTTTGTGGTCGTATCATCAGATCTGCAGCTGTACGTCTTGGACACTCGGATGAAAAGAGAAACAGAGCTACCAGTTGATCGTCATGTGGTACTGAGCTGAATGAGATGGTGGGAAAGGCCACTGGACAGAGCTAGTAAACCCAAACGTGTAGAGAGGGCGAGCTGTCTGGTTGAGTCCCCCTTCCATGATATCTTCGACTTTGATCTCATAGAGTTTCCCACGCATCCCTTGGAGGTTGGGGACATGGAATCTGAGTGGGCCACATTCTAGGCCTCCATTGCAGAGGCAACTGTTAGGAGCTGTGGTCAGAAGGTCATTGGTGCCTGACGGTGAAGGAGGCTGTTCAACTTAAGAAGGAGGCCTTTTGGGCTGGAGGGCCAGAGGTGCTGCAGCTGTGGCAGTCATGGAGGCAAAAATGGGAGGAGTTTGAGGATACTATGGATTTTGGATTTGGGGACTCTGGGGCCATTTGATGAAGCAGGAAGGGAAGGCAGGGTTTATCAAGCTATGTACAGGCAGGACAAAGTAGTAAAACTTACAGGCTTGTCCTCTTTAGTGAAGGCAGAATCTGAGGACTTGGGGGAAAGTCTCACCTATTCCTGGCAGAGTTTGCTAAGGTAGTCAAGATAGCTCCTTAGTGGCAAGGCACCAGGCATCGATGAGGGTTGCCCT